ATATCATGTGAGAGAAACAGACAACTTCTGGATTTCAGTTTGCTTACTTTATGACCGAGTGGAAACTGAAGGAGGAGGCTATTAATTTGATGGGAAAGTTGCATGGTTTAATTGGATGTTACAAATAGATGTAACGGTGCAATTATAATGTAGTGAGGAATGGAGTATGTTACTTACCATAAAGGAGAAAATGATTTAGCTTTGCAATAATTAGTGATAAATAAGGAGTGCTTTAGGCATAATTGAAAAGCGTTTCAATTGGAAAGAAAAACCATTTGATTCCATTTAGTGTAGTCTGATGTAATTATGTGTGTTTATGAATTCATCATGTCTAATTAATAAAATATTTGTATGTATATATTGCATTTATTATAGTATGTATCATATCAAGTACGTATGAATTATGTATGTATGTGCCCACATTAATATTGAGATGAGAGGTATGTATGTTAATGTATGGATGTATGAATATGGATGTGTTAGGGACATTTTGGGAAGAAATGTTTTAACATCCCAATCCACTTTTATAGTAGTATTAGATGTTTCATGTCGCTAGGCAGTATTTTCCCAAAAGAACAAGTTTATAGGTAGTTTTATGTAGAAAAGCAAAGTGGGTATATAGTTTTGAAGTGTTTGGAGTGAGGTTAGCTGCATTCAGTTAAGAATGATGCAGATTTGAATTTATGGAAATTGATTGTTTGCATGTCAGTGCTTGCATTTCATAAGACCTTAAAACTAATGCATGTTTCAATAAGTGATGAATTATATAGAAGTTGCTCAGCCTCAGATAAAAGATGAAACCAGGTTATTTGGAATATTGTTTGAAAAAAAGTAATTGATGGGTCAGGCCATTAGTATTAGGGGCATACACTAGAACAAACACTAGACAAAGGACTTATTTGGAACTACAGAGGTTAGGACGTGAAACTTTTAATGATAAAATGTTAAAAAAAATTGAAGAGCTAAAGTTTTGTAACAAAATATTAATTTTATTAGGAAAGTAGATGTCTGGAGAATATGAACTATAAATTGTCATTATTGTGGATTAGTAAGTTGGTCGAGTGAAGATGCACAAAAGTCGTAGACAAAGAAGAGGAATAAACTTAGTTGGTGTGTGACTAATTAAAATATTGAAAATAAATGTTACTATATTAGGAAAGAATAAAGCTAAGAAAGCGGTTAGTGAAACTACATTTTTGGCACATAATAATTTATGTAAGAACTTGATAACATATATTAATGTTTGTAAAGCTAATACAAAACAGAGCCGAGACATAATGTCAATTGTTTGAAGTATAAATCTTACAAGTCCTAATCAGTGCTTTAAGAAGCAGTCCGGACTTCGAACTCCATGGATAGAAACAATTTCAAAGCCAACTTCGTCATTTATGGATGCTGATGCTGCTACTGATACTACTTATTGCTTCTTTGTGCCCCTATTTACCCTTTTTCTTTTGGCCTTTTCATACCGATGGCGTTATGCTAATATAGCGGAGGCAATGATTATATTAGCAGCAATAGAAAATGGTTTATAGGTTTTATTTCTGCATTCTTCATTATTCCTTTTCTTCTTTTAGTTAAGTGCCATCTATGCTCCATGTTGCCCTAGCCACCCTGCAATAATTAAGATATTGTATAGCATGAGTCCTATTTATAACAGAACTAAAAATATACTTTGCAAAGATAAAAATTGAAGAGCTATAGGATGTAGCAATATTCCTCGTAGGTGTCAAAATATTTGGAGACTTGAGGAGTAGGTTATGTTAATAAGATTTGTTAATGCAGAGACACTTGTGTGTTTTATGAAAGACTGAAAGAGTTATTCAAAGTTGTAAATCTAGCGAAGATTAGTATATAACGAAGTAATGGTTGTGAGTAATATTTTCGTTAAGTAGGACCAATAAATAATCACGAGGGAACGTGAAGAAGATGTTCTACTTAGAACTAGGACAAACAAAATACAGATTGTTTTTTGAATAATATGTGATCATCGAATAGCAATAAAGTTGAAAATGAAAGTATAAGGTGTTTATATGACAAACAAAACTTTATTGTTTACTATGTTTGGCAATTAGAATCAAACACTTCTATAAAATAAGTGTAGTTGACATGAGAAGGTTGATGGATAAATTGAGAGCGTAGAGAGAAAGATAAGGAATAAATGTGTCCATTAGATATTAGTGAAAGCTTTTCTTGAGTATAACATGATTATAAAATAAGGTAAATTTGATTGCGTTGGTATGAATATGGTCGAGGTGGATAAATACACCAGTTGGGAGTAGATATGGAGTGTCAAATGAATATTGATGGACCACAATGATCATAGTCAGCCAATGAAAAGGAATTATCATTGTAGCTTACCTAATGAGGGCCCTTAATTAGTTTCTATGAGGAAAAACTATAGTCTTGATACTAAATATTGGGACAAAGGTTGTTCTATTATTTTTAATAAAATTAATCATGGACAAAGGTTGTTCTATTATTTTTAATAAAATTAATCATCTTAATCCTTCATTAGTTAGCAAGCATAAGAAAATTAATTATTCATCTTAGCTATCAAATCCAAGCGAAATTTGATCATTTTTAATCCCTCATGAAAGATTAACTAATTTAATCTTTCCTCTTTAACTTTTCTATTTTAACCCCTTGCCAACAGGCACCTTAGAGACTAATTTCAGTACATGAAAGATTTCAAGGGACCCCCACCTCTTTTTAATTGATTTCAAATGGGGCCTTAATTTCAAAATACGATCAGCTAAACTATGCGGATAAAAATTTAGACCCGATTCGGTAAAGATAAATGGCATGACGACATAATAACCCCTCAGTCCGTCGATCGATTTAAACCTCGGTGCGAAAATTTTGTAGCGAGTAGGGGAAAAGAAAAAAATCTCACACTCTCTATTCGTTCCTCAATCTCTTTATTTTCCAGCTTTGAACGATGCAAATAATCCTATTTCTCAAAATTAATTTTTGGATTTTTAGCTTCTTTTTTACCACAATTTTTGCCCAAGAAAAGATTTTTTTATTAAATCTTAACCCTATAAAGCCCTAATGTTAGCTTCAACGAGATAATTTTTTTTTGTTGCTGTAATCTCTAAAGCTTTATAATTTATTAAATTCGAACTAGGAAATATGGAGTTGAATCAAGATGAGATTTTGTGCAAGGAGTCTATTGTAAAAAATGATATCTAGGGTATTTTGTAATGATCAACAGAAACCTGCAAATAGAATTAGACGCATTTCAAGTTGTACGAGGAGAGTTTTGAGCCATGATTCAAATTCTGATTTAACTTCGTTGATTAAATTTCTTTCAACATTTTGACGTTTACTTTGTGCCGCACTGTCACATTAAAGAGTATTTACTAGTTATATTGCTTATAATTTTTGGCCAACATTGTAAGTATAATATGATTAATATGCCTAAAGTACACTTCAGATTTGCATAAGGTATAATCATTGTTTTAGTTCATATGTTTCATGTCCTTAGGCAGTATTTTCCCAAAAGAACAAGGTTTTAGGTAGTTTTATGTAGAAAAGCAAAGCAGGTATATTTTTTTGAAGTGTCAAAATATTGAAGACTTGAGGAGCTGTAGGATGTAGCAATATTCCTCTTAGGTGTCAAAATATTTGGAGACTTGAAGAGTAGGTTATGTTCATAAACTTTGTTAATGGAGAATCATTTCTGTGTTTTTTGAAAGACTGAAAGAGATTCAAAGTTGTAAATCTAGCGGAGATTAGTATATAACCAGGTAATGCTTGGGAGTAATATTTTTGTTAAGTAGGACCAATAAATAATAAATAATCATGAGGGAAAGTGAAGAGGATGTTCTACTTAAAACTAGGACAAACAAAATGGAGATTGTTGTTGGAATAATATGTGATCATCGAATAACAATAAAGTTGAAAAAGAAAGTATAAGGTGCTTATATGACAGACAAAACTTTATTGTTCCCTATGTTTGGCAATTAGAATCCAACACTTCTATAAAATAAGTGTAGTTGACATGAGAAGGTTGATGGATAAATTGAGAACGTAAAGAGAAAGATAAAGGATAAATGTGTCCATTAAATATTAGTCAAAGCTTTTCTTGAGTATAACATGATTATAAAATAAGGTAAAATTTGATTGCGTTGGTATGAATATGGTCGAGGTGGATGAATAAGACAATGGAGTGCCAAAGGAATATTGATGGACCACGACAATCATAGTCAGGTAATGAAAAGGAATTATCATTGTAGCTTACCTAATGAGGGCCCTTAATTAGTTTCTATAAGGAAAAACTATAAGCTTGATACAATATATTGGGTCGAAGGTTGTTCTATTATGTATAATGGTTCTACAAACTATTTACTTGACAAAAAAAATCCTTATAATGAATATTTCAACTCATTGAGGGAGTAACTGAGCCAAGAAAAGTATACGAAAAGGAACTATCGTTTTCGAAAATCATTTTGGTCGATGCAAAAGAGTACTTCTGAAATTGTTTATTAAGAGTCTAAACCTATTGATGTAATTAATTGATTCAGAAAATGTTGCAGGATTATCCTAATGGAGAGAGTGTGGTTTTAGAAAGAAACAAGATTCGTGTAGTTATATTAACGAAGACACGTATGATGGGGGACGAGAGCATGTGAACAGTTGGAGGAGAATCAAGCGCCATTCTTCAGCATCTTAGGCTTGCATCATTGTTTACATTAAGTTTAACTGTTACTCAGGGTTACCCATGCATGAGTTTACTAACCATATTCAGTTTGTGGTCTCCAACTCACCATCTCAGCATCCTTTTCCCCATTCAGCAATACTTGTAATGATTTGTCAACATAATTACTAGAGCATCCTTTCAAATCATCCACCTTCGACATGCAGTGTTGTAATTTATTATTATTTTAATTATTCTAGAGGATAACGGTCACACTCATGCTTTCTTTTTTATATTATATCTTCAAATTGAATCGTTTCCATTTTGGTTCTTATTGAAACTATTCATATTTGCCCAGGCCAGTGACAGGTTTAATATTAACTCCCAACTCGAGCATCTTCAAGCTAAATATGTTGGGACTGGGCATGCTGATATGAGTAGATTGTAAGTTGATGGTGTTTGTTAATACGTTTCTTCCTAGATTCAATTGTTTAAGAACATTTTCAGGTTTTTTTGTTCTCTTTTAACTGCAGTGATTGGGCGGTTAACATCCAACGTGATAGCTACGCATCTTATGTTGGCCACTACCCCCTTTTGGCTTACTTTGCTGTTGCTGAAAATGAATCAATTGGGAGAGAACACTACAATTTTATGCAGGTACGACATAGATAGACATCTTGTGTAGTGCTTGGAATTTGCCATTTATATTTCCTAATTTCAAATTTTAAAAATCTGATCATCTTGCATCATGATAACGTTACATCACTTTGGACTGGAAATGACAGAATTAAGTATATTGTTTCGTATTTTGGTTGCATTCTTTATATATAACCTAAGTGCAAACCATCTCCTCATAGCCTATACAGAAAGACACAAAGTTGAGGAGTGTACTAGATGCAGTAACATCAGTAATTTTACCTTGCACAGCAGGGTTCACACTGAAATTGTCTGCTGGTGTAATGATTTCATCACAGATGAGTGGCTATCAAGTGTTTATAGAGACATGCAAATAGACACAAATACCTATACTTTCAAGATGATATTTGTGTCCACAAAGCTCTTTTCTGCTAAGGTGTCCAAGAAGAACAGAGGGTACAATGGGAATTGGTAGCCTGAACAACCGGATTATCCACTATGTCTGATTCTTATGCTCTGTGTTTGTGATGGTTAAGTTAACATCTTGAATGTGGAGCATTAATTTTACTACATCAAAAGAAAATCAGCAAAAAGCTGAGTTAGCTAGAAGATGAGGTCTCACATATCATTAAAAAATAAACTCAAATTTCTTAGTCTTGTTGCATAGGTGAGGTGGACATTTTATGTTTATTTTTCATCCATGGGATGTTGATCTGGTCAAGGCATTCGGTACGACACATGTAGCGCAAGTGTTAAAACATACCAACGGCGAGAGGATAATTGGAAAGCATGTTGGTATATCCTTCAACTTCAACATTGAAAGCATGTTGGTGTATCATTCAACTCAACATTGAAGGTACCCTAGTTAGATGCATGGGTTTTTTCACTAGTAACTGGTAGGCTTCAGCTAAAATATTCGGTGGTTCTAACTTGTTCTTGACCATTTCTGCTTCAATTTTTTTAGATCCTTGTTTTCTCTTTATTTCAGGCATGCAACTAAGAATACTCATATATGATGTGTCATCAGTGTATATATGTACTAGCTTTAAGGATATTAACTGTATTTCATGTCACTGATTCCTACTGAAAGCTACGGGCCACATAGAGCAAGATAATATATATTTGTTATGCCCCTTTTTTTCCCTTTTGGCTAGTCTGATAAGCATCTTTTGGATGGACGGGAGCCTCACTTAGGTCAAACTCATAATTTCTAAGACTTCCAGTTCCATGTATATGAAGTGAATTCCTCTGTTAGGTTATAGTTTACTAGCAACTGTTATAGGCACATGCGTTTCAGGTATTCGAATGGAGACTTTAAATGCAGGCACGCAGCACCTTGGTAGCTAACAAATATATTTCGTTTTTCACCTAGGTAACTCTTGTAGAGAAAAGCATCTGCAATTAATGATTCCATTTGGTAATGTGGATACTTGACTGGGTAAATAAGTATAATTAACATACTTGGTGTGGCCATTTACTATTGTACAATAATCTATCAGACCCAAATTTCATGGTGTTAGATATCAACACCTGAACTATGTTTTACCGACTCTGCTATGTTCGAATGCAGAATTGAATGACATGATTTAATGTTCCTATACCCATATTTCCAGGGTATAAAAAGCCATTTATTGTTGTAATTACAACTTTGCCTACCCTCCATCTTTTTATTAAATTCTACACTATTTTTTTAAATACCTAATATCCTTCATTCTTTCCCAAGTTCCCTTCTTCTTCCCCAAACATCAGACAAAATATTAACCAAAAGCCCAAACCATGAAATCTTTATATCAGAGAGAACTCATCAGTTCCAATTGATTCAGGGCCATAACATTCACTCAATTAACTTCAAACAAAATCTAAGTAAAATTGAGCACAATAGACCCATGATTTCACGCATCCAAACCAACTTTCGGAAAAATAAAATAAAATAATAATTCAACTTTGTAACACCATCTCTAACACTAATTGACCCAAATTTATCCGTTTAGAGCTTGCGTAGCAACTGCAATCCAGTATTTTCCTATCTTCACCAAGATCTCCAGTTCATCTCCAGTTCATGATCACAACAAAAGTTCAGAGTTTTCTTCTTCCCTCACATTAAATCTAGGGTGCTGTTGAGTTGGGGAAAATGGGTAAAAGGTAAACTGGGGATTGTTTTACCGTTAAGGGGATTAATTATAATGGAGGTGTATTTTCGGCTCTACGGGTATTTTGTAATGATGTTTACAATATTCTAACGGTGGACAACTTAGGGTATTAGTGTGCTATTTTTTACAATTTAGGCTATTTAAGTGTAAAAGGTGTTGAAACAATAGGGTATGCTAGTGCCATTTAGCCATAAAATTCATTTGCTTTGGGAGAATCAAGGCTTGATGTCACAAGGAATATTTATATGCTTATCTTTTGTAGGAAACCATTTTTATTGTACCTTCTTCAAACTCTGTCGTGATACAGTGAAAGCTTAAGCTTTTGCTACTTGATTGCTTAGGGATTAAGTTGTTAACATAAGACTAATAAGTGACTCTTGTCTACCTACATTACCCTTTTTGCTTTGGGCGAAACCTCTGTCTCATGTGTATACCTTCAAAATATTTTACTCATGAACATGACTGGATTTGATTGGTTTGTAATAAATTCCAGTATAGATTGTAACTATCATCATTATTGTCAGAGCCCAAGCCGCCCACATGTTGATAATCAAGAAAAACAGCAGCCATCTTTGAAAATTTGAGAAGAAAACAAAACAGTGGGCCCCTACTGCTACAGTAAAATATTAATATTTTATTGTGCATAGTGTTTTTCTAAAAACTATAAATAGGGCTCCAAATCCTTAAGGAAATCTTATCCCAGAAACAACTTCTTATATAAGAAGAGTGAGAGAGAGAAAAAAATAGAGAGAGTTTCTCCTTGTAAAGAGAGAGTTTGTAACTCCAGAGTTTTTTCCTCATAGTGAATTCTTCTATCCTTGCCCGTGGACGTAGGCAATCAAGTGCCGAACCATGTAAATCTGTGTGTCCAATATTTTATCTCTACTTTTGCTCTACTATTGCTGCGACCCTGCTCTATTAGGCCCCGGGTTTGTCCCAACAAGTGGTATCAGAGCCAACTTAGGGTACTTGTATATATCTACTTATCGTATGCTCTGTGGCTGCCACCAAAGGTGGATCCTCCACATCAGAAAATAAGTTAGGATATCATTTACCCTTTGGAGGTGACGGGTACTATTCACGAGTATGGTACTATTCACAAATACGGTACTGTTCACAAATACGGTACTATTCACAGATACGGTTACTGTTCATAAATACAGTACTATTTACGTGAAATAGTAAGAAGTTACTGTTCGTGGTAGAAGCAATGGCGGCGAAGTTCAAGATCGAGAAATTCGACGGGAGTAATTTCTCACTGTGGAAGTTGAAGATAAAGGCTATCTTGAGAAAAGATAATTACCTGACGGCCATTGGTGCAAGGCCGGACGACATCACAGATGATAAGAAGTGGAACGAGATGGACGAAAATGCTATTGCAAATCTCCATCTGGCATTAGCAGACGGGGTGCTGTCAAGTATAGAGGAGAAGAAGACAGCAAAGGAGATATGGGATACTCTAACAAAGCTATATGAGGCGAAATCCATGCACAATAAAATCTTCTTAAAAAGGAGACTTTACACTCTGAGGATGGCGGAATCTACATCGATGACCGACCACATCAACACCCTAAACACACTGTTCTCCCAACTCACAACGTTGGGATATACAGTTGGTGCGAATGAACGTGCAGAACTTCTACTTCAGAGTCTACCTGACTCGTATGATCAACTCATCATCAACCTGACGAACAACGTCCTCACGGACAATCTAGTCTTCGACGATGTTGCAGCCGCTGTTCTGGAGGAAGAAAATCGGCGCAAGAACAAGGAAGACAGGCAGACAAGTTCGCAGCAAGTGGAGGCCTTGTCGGTGACGAAAGGAAGATCAACAGAACGTGGCTCTAGTGGGAGTCATGCCCATGGTAGATCGAAATCACGAAGTAAGAAGAATATCAAATGCTACAACTGTGGCAAAAGAGGGCACGTCAAATCGGAGCGTTGGCACAACAAGAAGAGTGGAGATAAAAAGTCTTCAGAGCCATCAACATCTCAAGGATGCGTTGTCAGCACGTCAGAGGATGGTGAAATTCTATTCAGTGGAGCAACCACTGCTGATGAAGGCAGAAAGAAGTTTGCTAATGTCTGGCTTCTAGATTCAGCAGCCTCTTGGCACATGACCTCTCGGAGAGATTGGTTTCACAAATATGAACCTATCTCAGGAGGATCTGTATTCATGGGGAATGATCATGCCTTGAAGATTTGTGGTATTGGTACTATCAAAATCAAAATGTTTGATGGTATAATACGCACCATTCAAGATGTGCGACATGTGAAGGGCTTGAAAAAGAATCTATTGTCTTTAGGACAATTAGATGAGCTCGGGTGCAAGACTCATATAGAAAATGGAGTCATGAAGATTGTTAGAGGGGCGCTTGTGGTGATAAAAGGAGAAAAGATAGCTATAAATCTGTACATGCTCAAGGGAGAGACTCTGCAGGAATCTGATTCATGTGTGGCATCAACCAGCCGTGGAGAAGAACAAACCATGATGTGGCATCGCAAGCTAGGCCATATGTCAGAACGAGGCTTGAAGGTTCTCTCCGATCAGAAACTGCTTCCTGGACTTAATTCGGTAGCTCTTCCATTCTGCGAGCATTGTGTTACAAGCAAGCAACATCGACTGAAGTTCAACACATCGAGTTCTAGAAGCAAGGCTATTCTGGAACTGGTTCATTCTGATGTATGGCAAGCACCAGTTACATCCTTAGGAGGAGCAAAGTACTTTGTGTCCTTTATTGATGATTACTCCAGGAGATGTTGGGTGTATCCTATCAAGAAGAAGGCGGATGTGTTCTCAGTTTTTAAAGCCTACAAAGCGCGGGTCGAGCTTGAATTTGAGAAGAAGATCAAGTGCCTGAGGTCAGATAATGGAGGAGAATACACAGACGGTGAATTCCTAGCATTCTGCAATCATGAAGGCATCAAAAGACAATTCAGTACGGCTTATACTCCTCAACAAAATGGAGTGGCGGAGCGGATGAACAGAACTCTGTTGGAAAGAACAAGAGCTATGTTGGCTACTGTAAATCTGGAAAAAATCTTTTGGGCGGAAGCAGTAAAAACCGCCCGTTATGTGATAAATCGATCTTCATCAACTGCAATACAATTGAAGACGCCGATGGAGATGTGGACTGGCAAGCCAGTTGATTATTCCAACCTCCATATATTTGGAAGTCCAGTGTACGTAATGTACAATGCCCAAGAAATTACAAAGCTGGATTCAAAATCCAGAAAATGCATATTCTTAGGGTATGCTGATGGAGTAAAGGGGTATCGCCTGTGGGATCCCACTGCCCACAAGGTTATCATCAGCAGAGATGTTATCTTTGTAGAGAACCAACTACAAAGTAAAGAGAAAGAAAGCAGTTCGAGGAAGGACTCAGAGACTGTAGCTGTTCAGGTAGAAGATAATCCGAATTCTTCTGAAGCGACACCGGAGCATGATGTACAAGAACCAGTCGAGGTCGAGGATCCAGAAGTTCGAAGGTCAACTCGTGAGAGAAGACCACCGACTTGGCACTCGGAGTATATTACGGAGAGTAATGTTGCATACTGTCTTCTAACAGAAGATGGAGAGCCATCAACTTTTCATGAAGCTATAAATGGCACAGATGCATCTTTGTGGATGGCAGCAATGCAGGAAGAAATTGAAGCTCTCCATAAGAACAAGACTTGGGAACTTGTGTCACTGCCACAAGGAAGAAAGACCATTGGAAACAAATGGGTCTACAAGATCAAGCGAAATGGCGATGATCAAGTGGAGCGATATCGTGCTAGATTGGTGGTAAAAGGATATGCTCAGAAAGAAGGTATTGATTTTAATAAAATATTTTCTCCTGTAGTTCGACTAACAACAGTCCGAATTGTCCTGGCTATGAGCGTTATATTTGACTTACATCTAGAGCAGCTAGATGTGAAAACAGCATTTCTTCATGGAGATCTTGAAGAAGAAATTTACATGCTCCAACCAGAAGGTTTTGAAGAAAAAGGAAAAGAGAACTTGGTTTGCAGATTGAACAAATCTCTGTACGGTCTAAAGCAGGCGCCGAGGTGTTGGTACAAGAGATTTGATTCATTCATCATGAGCCTTGGATACAACAGACTTAATTCAGACCCTTGTGCATATTTCAAGAGGTTTGGTGAAAATAACTTTGTTATCTTATTGTTGTATGTTGACGACATGTTGGTTGCAGGCCCCAACAAAGATCGTATCCAAGAATTAAAGGCTCAGTTGGCTAGGGAATTTGAAATGAAGGATTTAGGATCTGCAAACAAGATTCTAGGGATGCAAATTTACCGAGACAGAATTAATAGGAAGATTTGGCTTTCTCAGAAGAACTATTTGAAGAAAATCTTGCGACGCTTTAACATGCAAGATTGTAAGTCAATTTCTACCCCACTTCCTGTTAATTTCAAGTTATCCTCCAGTATGAGTCCTAGCAGTGAAGAAGAGAGGATGGAGATGTCTCGAGTACCGTATGCATCAGCAGTATGCATCAGCAGTGGGAAGCTTAATGTTCGCGATGATTTGTACAAGACCAGACATTGCACAAGCAGTGGGAGTGGTTAGTCGATACATGGCGAATCCTGGTAAAGAGCATTGGAATGCTGTAAAGAGGGTCCTAAGATATATTAAGAGAACCTCAAATGTTGCATTATGTTATGGGGGATCTGATTTTATTGTCAGTGGATATGTTGATTCTGATTATGCAGGTGATCGTGATAATAGCAAATCCACCACAGGTTATGTGTTTGCACTTGCTGGCGGAGCTGTAAGCTGGGTTTCAAAACTGCAGTCAAAAAATTATTTATTTCCTAATTAATATGCATTTCAACTACTTCCGAGCTACTTCTGAGTATTAAGGATTAGAAAACTATTTTGAAAGTAAGGATGACACGTAAGCACCACACAAGTGTCAGAGCCCAAGCCGCCCACATGTTGATAATCAAGAAAAAGCAGCAGCCATCTTTGAAAATTTGAGAAGAAAACAAAACAGTGGGCCCCCACTGCTACAGTAAAATATTAATATTTTATTGTGCATAGTGTTTTTCTAAAAACTATAAATAGGGCTCCAAATCCTTAAGGAAATCTTATCCCGGAAACAACTTCTTATATAAGAAGAGTGAGAGAGAAAAAAAATAGAGAGAGTTTCTTCTTGTAAAGAGAGAGTTTGTAACTCCAGAGTTTTTTCCTCATAGTGAATTCTTCTATCCTTGCCCGTGGATGTAGGCAATCAAGTGCCGAACCACGTAAATCTGTGTGTCCAATATTTTATCTCTACTTTTGCTTACTATTGCTGCGACCCTGCTCTATTAGGCCCCGGGTTTGTCCCAACAATTATTAATTCGTTAATCTTTTCATAATTGCTTGTTTTGGTGTAATAATTTCGGCCTATCCTTTTCCTGGAGTTTTACGATCTTTAATGTGGTAGCGTGCATATTGATATGCAGGCTTTGTATAAACCCTGAGTTGTTTTGGATTTCTGAAGCGTATTCTTAGTTGTCTGAATCCCCAGATGCCTAGCTTAACATGTCAAAGAACAGGAACATGGAGGATTTAAATGACCGTGTCTTTTTTCTTATCGATCATTTCATGTTATATTATCTTAGAAAAGTATTTGTCCTTTTTTGTTTGCTTTTTAATTGGTCCGCTGCTGCCTCTACTCTTCTCTTGTGGTTTATGCCAAGTTTAATGTTTCCTCATCTCTTGCAGAAAATGTTGCTGCCTTGTGGACTTCCACCAGAGAGAGAAGAAGATCAGGTACTGGAGATCTTCAAGCCGGGCTATCATTCCTTTTATTTTATCGTCTTCCCTTCAGTTGTATGAAACAAAATGTTTGCATATTTCTATTTCCAAACTAGATGCTCTTCAATGTGAATTGTAGGAGATATAACTATTCTTATTACCATCTATGAACTATCGTATGAACTGAAAGTATTTCTGGTTCGCATGTGAATTGAAACTATCGTATGAAATGAAAGTATTTCTGGTTCGTATTATGTCAGGAGTACAGGGTAATTCTGCAAGGTGGTTTTTTACATACTCTCGATAAGACCGTTTCTGCTTCAGCAGCGGTCCAGAGTAATTCTGCAAGGTGATTCTTTACATACTCTCCATACACTGCTTCTACTTCAGCTTGCCACCACAGCGTGCAATTGAATTGTTGATCCAACTGTTATTGCGTGCAGGTATTGTTGTTGTTGTTGGTTCTATTTGCAATGTATAATAAGCAACTTGGTTTCAGTTTTAATAAATTGGGGGGAAATTTAATTTAACCTTTTTTTTCAATAAAATAGAAGGATAGTTAAGAGTACAATATGATGGGTGATACAGTTCAATTTCACGATTTCCTGGCGTTGTGTTTGCTAAGTTTGAGTAATTCCCAAACCAACATCTGTACTTGTGATTAGAACCTTCTGACATTGTTGTTGGATACTAGTTTTTATGCATGTGCGTTGCCCGTGCTTTATTTTTTGCTTTATAAGTGTGAGTACTTATAGGGTCGATCATGGTGGGTAGGCTGACAAGTGCCGTCGTTTTAGTCGACCACGCAAGTTGTCGGCCTAACGGGTCGGCTGCAAAAGTTGTTCGGGTTGTATGGACTCTGATCATATTTGATTAGACGAGGAACGAGGCACATGTTGGGCTAAGAAGGTGGTTTTAACATTTGGTGATTTATTGTCATAACAGTTACATATATTATGTAAAAAAAGAAAATTAAATCTCGATTATAAAACATAAAATAAGGAGAAGAAAAAAAAAGAAAAGAAAAACTAACAACGAGGCAATAAAAAGAGCAAAATAATATAATTTTACTTTACAAAGCATGAAGAAAAGTTATCCTACAAGTATATGTAGCAAAATAATATAATTCTACTTTACAAAGCATGAAGAAAAGTTATTGTCATAACAGTTACATATATTATGTAAAAAAAAAGAAAATCAAATCTCGATTATAAAACATAAAATAAGGAGAAGAAAAAAAAGAAAAGAAAAACTAACAACGAGGCAATAAAAAGAGCAAAATAATATAATTCTACTTTACAAAGCATTGAAGAAAAGTTATACTACAAGTATAAAATAAATAAAATCTATAAAATATGAAATAAAAATAAAAAATAAAATCCTAAAAAATGCAATTCTAAAATAAGAAAATAAAATAGGAAAATTGAAAACTTACATTCCAATTTTTTAAGAGGTTTGCCTCTTGTGAAGTAAATCTTCACCTTTACTTCATCACAAAGAGAAGAAAAATAACTATTAAGAAAGAGGAATTTTTTTTTATTTATGGCAAACAAAAAGTTTATAAATTAAAAGACCTAATTAAAGGTCCTACTCTCCAAAAAAGAGTTGTTGTTTGGTTTACATAATGAACTTTTAGAAAGTGCTAGTTATGTGCAGCCCCCTCATATAGATTATACTACCATAGATAAGGTTACCTCTATAAAAATAAAATAATCTAACAATAAATTGTTATGATTATTATACTCTATTAAGAAGTTATTAAATCCAAAAATAAACAAATTAAAAAAGCTATCATTAACTTGAACTAATCAAATGGGACACTAACAAAAAAACCGCACCAAATCATATTGCTAAAGCTTGATGTATTGCCTGATAAAATTGAACTCATCTATATTCATACATACCTAGGTATCACAAAATTAATTCATCCACAACCATACAATTAAACCCAAATAGCATAAATTCTTGCTCCACATTTCATACAACCGCCCGGACAACAGTCTTCTGAACACCTTCCTACTTCACTAAAATAAAAAAAATGAATACATAAATAAATAAATAAAATGAAATGCTTGTATCATTAGGCTATAACTAGCACTAAACAAGAATTGCTTCTTTTGGAGAGTGAAGTATACTCATCATAGTTTCTTATTTAGATGACTACAACCCATGAAATTCATGGCCATCGTCGCCATATCCGAACCAAAATCATCCACAGGCATCTCGACCTCATCGTAATCATTGCCTCAAATAGTAACTAAAATCATTCGCCGGCCACTATGATACATACTCTCTTTTTCTTTTCTTTTTTTCCCTATGAGGCCGATTTTTCTTGGAAAGTTCCATCAATTTGGGTGATGTGGTGGTCTTCTTCTTGCTGGGAGCGGCAGAGAGGAGAGGATATGTAGGTGGGGGGACCAGCGGTGAAGCTCACCGAAGTGTGAATCTCGCTCATGGGTTTTTGGATTAGAAGTTGAAGAGGATTTTATTTTTTTTGGCTTTATTTTTTCTTTTTGCAAGGGAGAGGTAGCTAGAGCCTACGATTAGCAAGGTTTTTTTAACTCTTGTAACTCTTTGTTACTGACATTGTGTTAGCTTTTCGTTGAAATCTCTCCATTTTGAGGGGATTTTGCTTTCCTTGACACTTCACCATTTTACTTGCCATGTCACCATCTTTGTTTGTGTAACCAAACAAAATAAAATGGGGAATTCAATTGAAACCTGACACAATCTAACACTTTAGGATATTAGATGGATATTAGGATATTAGATGGATGCAATTTGTGGGGGCCCATGGTGAATTGGTAAGGAGTGTTGTTGTGGGCTTTACAGATGGGTGCATTCGTAGTCGGCTACAAGAGTTGAAAAGAGATGTCACAGGTGGACATTAAAGTGAGGCGGTCGGTTCGGTCCTAATTGACTCATAAACTCTGCACCCAACCTGAATTGAAAGCGATATAAAAATCAAATCAAAACATAATAAATAAGATAGTTCAGTCAGTTCAAATCTGTCTGCATCATATTTCCTCAATCCTACACCTCAGCTCTTCTTATAATTTTGTTCATATTCCTGTGTTTCTTTCAAGTTTTTCCCCCCCAAAAGCGACTACTTGAAACATCAACCCATATCACGAAAATAAAAAACTCATTTCTGATTAATTTGCTTGGAAAGGAACTGGAAAACAAATAAAGAAGATGAAAAAAATTCAGAGCGAGTGAGGTGGCTTTTTAGGAACCGTCCAAACTATTTTTTATAAATTTAACTTTCTACTTTTTACTCACAAACCAAACATAAAACTGAGGTTTTTTAGAAATTGGGGTTGGTTAAGCACCAACCAAACAACAAAACCATTTGTAAGCATCTGGCAGAAAACACAAACTTGGTTTTTCCCCTCTAGAAATTAAGTTTTCCAATAATTGGGGATTTAATCCAAAACAGCCCCCTTACTTGAAAGACTAATTTCAAAGCAACTTAAGAATTAGAATATCTAGTAGCAATTTCAGTGATTTACCATACTAATTTCATAATAGCTTAAGACGTGGGGGACATAATAGTAAATTTAATTATTTTAGACCTTATTTGATAAAGAGTTAAAAGGGTTTAACCCTTCACTAACCTACCAAATAATAATTTATGGTTGAAGGTTTTCGTACCCCTAGTCAACAGGGTAAGAGCAGTTAACCTATCAAAATGATGGGTTAATAATTCCACCGTTTTAGGCGGGGTAAAGTCTTAACCCTTCTCGGCGGCGGCAAGGGTAAATGATGTAATTTAGAAAGTTTGACATTTCTACCCTGGTCAGCCATACCATGCGGATCAAAACTTAGACCCGACCCGGTAGAGATGAAGGTTTTCGTACCCCTAGTCAACAGACTAAGGAATGTGCTGAACAATAAAGAAATCTTACGAGTTAATTGTATCTTTACTGGTGATATATGTTCATCTCACGAGTTCCCAAAAAATAGTTTGGACGGTTCCCAAAAAGCCACCTCACTCGCTCTTAATTTTTGCATCTTCTTTATTTGTTTTCCAGTTTCTTTCCAAGCAAATTAGTCAGAAATGAGTTTTTTATTTTCGTGATATGGGTTGATGTTTCAAGTAGTCGCTTTTGGGGAAAGAAAACTTGAAAGAAACACAGGAATAAGAACAAAATTATAAGAAGAGCTGAGGTGTAGGATTGAGGAAATATGATGCAGACAGATTTGAACTGACTGAACTATCTTATTTATTATGTTTTGATTTGATTTTTATTTCGCTTTCAATTCAGGTTGGGTGCAGAGTTTATGAGTCAATTAGGACCGAACCGACCGCCTCACTTTAATGTCCACCTGTGACATCTCTTTTCAACTCTTGTAGCCGACTACGAATGCACCCATCTGTAAAGCCCACAACAACACTCCTTACCAATTCACCATGGCCCCCCACAAATTGCATCCATCTAATATCCTAAAGTTATGCTTTTTTCCAGGTAAATGCATGTTGTCAAGGAAAGTGTTAGATTGTATCTTAAACAATGTCTGATTCTTATGCTCTGTGTTTGTGATGGTTAACATCTTGAATGTGGAGCATTAATTTTACTACATCAAAAGAAAACCAGCAAAAAGCTGAGTTAGCTAGAAGATGAGGTCTCACATATCATTAAAAATAAACTCAAATTTCTTAGTCTTGTTGCATAGGTGAGGTGGACATTTTATGTTTATTTTTCATCCATGGGATGTTGATCTGGTCAAGGCATTCGGTACGACACATGTAGCGCAAGTGTTAAAACATACCAACGGCGAGAGGATAATTGGAAAGCATGTTGGTATATCCTTCAACTTCAACATTGAAAGCATGTTGGTGTATCATTCAACTCAACATTGAAGGTACCCTAGTTAGATGCATGGGTTTTTTCACTAGTAACTGGTAGGCTTCAGCTAAAATATTCGGTGGTTCTAACTTGTTCTTGACCATTTCTGCTTCAATTTTTTTAAATCCTTGTTTTCTCTTTATTTCAGGCATGCAACTAAGAATACTCATATATGATGTGTCATCAGTGTATATATGTACTAGCTTTAAGGATATTAACCGTATTTCATGTCACTGATTCCTACTGAAAGCTACGGGCCACATAGAGCAAGATAATATATATTTGTTATGCCCCTTTTTTTCCCTTTTGGCTAGTCTGATAAGCATCTTTTGGATGGACGGGAGCCTCACTTAGGTCAAACTCATAATTTCTAAGACTTCCAGTTCCATGTATATGAAGTGAATACCTCTGTTAGGTTATAGTTTACTAGCAACTGTTTCAGGCACATGCGTTTCAGGTATTCGAATGGAGACTTTAAATGCTGGCACGCAGCACCTTGGTAGCTAACAAATATATTTCGTTTTTCACCTAGGTAACTCTTGTAGAGAAAAGCATCTGCAATTAATGATTCCATTTGGTAATGTGGATACTTGACTGGGTAAATAAGTATAATTAACATACTTGGTGTGGCCATTTACTATTGTACAATAATCTATCAGACCCAAATTTCATGGTGTTAGATATCAACACCTGAACTATGTTTTACCGACTCTGCTATGTTCGAATGCAGAATTGAATGACATGATTTAATGTTCCTATACCCATATTTCCAGGGTATAAAAAGACAACCACTTGGGAACAATACATAGGATCAAATAGGATTCTACTTCCCAGTGTGAGAGCGATCCATGATTCCTGATTTTAGTGAAGATGTCTAGAATCGATTGAGTAAAGTTACGGACTTTGGTGTCACAATGTCCTGACTTAAGTAAATTTTCTAAATGTTCCTTCACTGTACACTGCATAGTGCCCTATTATCATGGGGGTGAGATGTTCAGATGCAAGCTTTTCTGGTTCTGCAGTACTTTATTAAACTCTACTTTGTCAGTGGATAACCATGCACGCTAGTACCCTAAGCTGTCCAAAATTGGCACGTTAGTACATTCTGCTAGTTGCATATATATCACATGTCATTTTTGTATTTTTTGACCCATTTATTGTTGTAATTACAACTTTGCCTACCCTCCATCTTTTTATTAAATTCTACACTATTTTTTTAAATACCTAATATCCTTCATTCTTTCCCAAGTTCCCTTCTTCTTCCCCAAACATCAGACAAAATATTAACCAAAAGCCCAAACCATGAAATCTTTATATCAAAGAGAACTCATCAGTTCCAATTGATTCAGGGCCATAACATTCACTCAATTAACTTCAAACAAAATCTAAGTAAAATTGAGCACAATAGACCCATGATTTCACGCACCCAAACCAACTTTCGGAAAAATAAAATAAAATAATAATTCAACTTTGTAACACCATCTCTAACACTAATTGACCCAAATTTATCCGTTTAGAGCTTGCGTAGCAACTGCAATCCAGTATTTTCCTATCTTCACCAAGATCTCCAGTTCATCTCCAGTTCATGATCACAACAAAAGTTCAGAGTTTTCTTCTTCCCTCACATTAAATCCTGGGTGCTGTTGAGTTGGGGAAAATTGGTAAAAGGTAAACTGGGGATTGTTTTACCGTTAAAGGGGATTAATTATAATGGAGGTGTATTTTCGGCTCTACGGGTATTTTGTAATGATGTTTACAATATTCTAACGGTGGACAACTTAGGGTATTAGTGTGCTATTTTTTACAATTTAGGCTATTTAAGTGTAAAAGGTGTTGAAACAATAGGGTATGCTAGTGCCATTTAGCCATAAAATTCATTTGCTTTGGGAGAATCAAGGCTTGATGTCACAAGGCATATTTATATGCTTATCTTTTGTAGGAAACCATTTTTATTGTACCTTCTTCAAACTCTGTCGTGATACAGTGAAAGCTTAAGCTTTTGCTACTTGATTGCTTAGGGATTAAGTTGTTAAGATAAGACTAATAAGTGACTCTTGTCTACCTACATTACCCTTTTTGCTTTGGGCCAAACCTCTGTCTCATGTGTATACCTTCTAAATATTTTACTCATGAACACGACTGCATTTGATTGGTTTGTAATAAACGCCAGTATAGATTGTAACTATCAACATTATTAATTCGTTAATCCTTTCATAATTGCTTGTTTTGGTGTAATAATTCCGGCCTATCCTTTTACTGGAGTTTTACGATCTTTAATGTGGTAGCGTGCAATATTGATATGCAGGCTTAGTATAAACCCTGAGTTGTTTTGGATTTCTGAAGCGTATTCTTAGTTGTCTGAATCCCCAGATGCCTAGCTTAACATGTCAAAGAACAGGAACATGGAGGATTTAAATGACCGTGTCTTTTTTCATGTCGATCATCTCATGTTATATTATCTTAGAAAAATATTTGTCCTTTTTTGTTTGCTTTTTAATTGGTCCGCTGCTGCCTCTACTCTTCTCTTGTGGTTTATGCCAAGTTTAATGTTTCCTCATCTCTTGCAGAAAATGTTGCTGCCCTGTGGTCTTCCACCAGAGAGAGAAGAAGATTAGGTACTGGAGATCTTCAAGCCGGGCTATCATTCCTTTTATTTTATCGTCTTCCCTTCCGTTGTATGAAACAAAATGTTTGCATATTTCTATTTCCAAACTAGATGCTCTTCAATGTGAATTGTAGGAGATATAACTATTCTTATTACCATCTATGAACTATCGTATGAATTGAAAGTATTTCTGGTTCGCATATGAATTGAAACTATTGTATGAAATGAAAGTATTTCTGGTTCGTATTATGTCAGGAGTACAGGGTAATTCTGCAAGGTGATTTTTTACATACTCTCGATAAGACCGTTTCTGCTTCAGCAGCGGTACAGGGTAATTCTGCATGGTATTCTTTACATACTCTGGATACACTGTTTCTACTTCAGCAGCAGTTATAGCTAGGTGTTTTTGCTGTGTTGCTGCTGTAAGACTGTAAGCGACTTTGGGGCTGTTTGGTATAGCTTGCCACCACAGCGTGCAATTGAATTGTTGATCCAACTGTTATTGCGTGCAGGTATTATTGTTGTTGTTGGTTCTATTTGCAATGTATAATAAGCAACTTGGTTTCAGTTTTAATAAATTGGGGGGGGGAAATTAATTTATCCCTTTTTTTTCAATAAAATAGAAGGGTAGTTAAGTGTACAATATGATGGGTGATACAATTCAATTTCACGATTTCCTGGCATTGTGTTTGCTAAGTTTGAGTAATTCCCAAACCAACATCTGTACTTGTGATTAGAACCATCTGACATTGTTGTTGGATACCTAGTTTTTATGCACGTGCGTTGCACGTTTTTTTTTTCTTTATAAGTGGGAGTCCTTATAGGGTTGATCATGGTGGGTAGGTCAACAAGTGTCGTCTTTTTAGTCGCCCACGCAAGTTGTCGGCCTAACGGGTCAGCTGCAAAACCTATTCGGGTTGTATGGACTCTGATCATATTTGATTAGACGAGGAACGAGACACATGCCTTTTTAGTCGACCACGCAAGTTGTCGGCCTAACGGGTCAGCTGCAAAACCTGTTCGGGTTGTATGAACTCTGATCATATTTGATTAGACGAGGAACGAGACACATGTTGGGCCAAGAAGGTGGTTTTAACATTTGGTGATTTATTGTCATAACAGTTACTTATATTATGTAAAAAAAGAAAATCAAATCTAGATTATAAAACATAAAAGTAAGGAGAAGAAAAGAAAGAAAAGAAAAACTAAAAAACGAAGCAATAAAAAGAGCAAAATAATATAAATCTACCTTACAAAGCATGAAGAAAAGTTATACTACAAGTATAAAATAAATAAAATCTATAAAATATGAAATAGAAATAAAAAATAAAATCCTAAAAAATGCAATTCTAAGATAAGAAAATAAAATAGGAAAAATAAAAACTTACATTCCAAATTTTTACGAGGTTTGCCCCTTGTGAAGTAAATATTCATCTTCACTTCATCACAAAGAGAAGAAAAATAAATATTAAAAAAGAGGAATTTTTTTATTTATGGCAAACAAAAACTTTATAAATTGAAAGACCTAATTAAAGGTCCTACTCTCCAAAAAAGAGTTTACAAAAATTTTCACATTCAAACTCCTCACTTCCTGCATCCATTTATAGCCTACTGCAATTAATAAGAGTCATTAGATCATTCTTGAGCTCTAAGAAAATTAAAATCAACCATTGATTGAACTCTATTATAAAGTAATCAGTAAACCCATCAATTAGCTAACCGATTAGCCAATTGATTTGCCAATTGATTGGTGCATTAGTTGATTTGTAATGGAATTTGATTCTCTTTGATTTCATTTGTTGACTTTGTCTTTATGGTCTTTTAGGCTTCTTTCCTTGATCTTCGGCTTCAATAAAGGTTGAGAAATGAGAGAATTTATTTCTTTTAGACTTTTATTCATTAATCCTTCATTACCTATAATCTAAGATAAACGCACGTTACTAGCAAATATTTTTTTAAAATAAAAAATATAATGAGGGTATAAAGTGTAATAAAATGTGATGATTAGTGAGTGAAGTCAATGGTGTAGCTTTTCATTTCTTCTACCCCCCACCCCCACCCCCACCCCCACCCCAAAAACGAAAAAAAGCTTCCAAATTATTAGAGAAACTCTCTTTAAGTATAGAGATTGTCACAAAACTATCTTTTTAACTTCTATATTTTATTAAAAAATTCCCCTTTAACTTTAATATTTTATTAGAATACCCCCTAACTATGGCGGATTTCTGATAATATCTCAAAGTTAAAGAGGATTTTCTAATAACTTAAGAGGGGTTTTCTGATATTTTGAAAGTTAAAGAGGGTTTTCAATAATTGTTCAAAGTTAGGGGGTTTTACAATATTTAGCTTTCTTCTAACTTTCAAGTATTTTTTTTCCTTATATATGAAAAATGATAGAGTTAAAAGGACAATGACTGGTTCAAAATGAGACAAAATATAAAACAAATTGATTGGTTTCAAAGGTAAACAAAATATAAATATATATTTGAAATTATTGATTGGATCTTGGAGGTTCTAATTGTATCATCCTTATAGGTAATGTGATACAATCAAAATCCACAGTTTGTGTTATTTTTTCACTCGTCGAAAACATCAAAGCTCGGACTTAACAACTTTCGTACACTGGTGTTGTTCATCTAAATTAAATCATATCATTTGATTATAATACACCTAAGGTATCAGTTCTGCTTAATTATAATCATCCAATACTTAATGCATCTAAAACGTAAGTGCTTTCAACAATAGTCTTTTAACTTTCAGTAAAGATGGGTTTAGGGTATAATTATCGTTTTAATTTATATTTAATGGATTCTTCAAAGAAAAGTTAAAATAGGACTAAGTTTATATTTAACAAAAAAGTATTGAATTAAGTTCAGAAAAAATAAAGTGAAAGGACCAATTTGAGAATTAAGCCCTAGAACAAAAATCAAATGTGTCTTTCACCCTTTATTTAATTGAGTAAGCGCCCGTTTGTTTGTTATTTGTAAACTAGTGTATTTATGACACAAGTTAGAAAGTTGTTATCCACCTCAGCACTTTCACTTTCACATTTTTCTTTGTTTGGTTTGGATCGCCTCGGAATCATCAAATGAAACCAAAGTTGTTGTTAGGTTTACATAATGAACTTTTAGAAAGTGGTAGTTATGTGGAGCCCCCCTCAAATAGATTATATTATCATAGGTAAGGTTACCTCTATAAAAATAAAAAAATCTAACAACAAATTGTTATGATTATTATACTCTATTAAGAAGTTATTAAATCCAAAAATAAACAAATTAAAGAAGCTATCATTAACTTGAACTAATCAAATGGGACACTAACAAAAAAACCGCACCAAATCATATTGCTAAAGCTTAATGTATTGCCTGATAGAATTGAACTCATCTATATTCATACATACCTAGGTATCACAAAATTAATTCATCCACAACCATACAATTAAAACCATATAGCATAAATTCTTACTCTACATTTCATACAACCGCCCGGACAACAGTCTTCTGAACACCTTCCTACTTCACTAAAACAAAATAAAATGAATACATAAATAAATCCAAAAATACATGAAATGCTTGTATCATTAGGCTATAACTAGCACTAAACAAGAACTGCTTCTTTTGGAGAGTGAAGTATACTCATCATAGTTTCTTGTTTAGATGACTACAACCTATGAAATTCATGGCCATCGTCGTCATATCCGAACCAAAATCATTCACTGGCATCTCAACCTCATCGTTATCATTCACAGGCATCGGAGTGTGAATCTCGCTCATGGGTTTTTGGATTAGAGGTTGAAGAGGATTTTATTTTTTTGGCTTTATTTTTTCTTTTTGCAAGGGAGAGGTAGCTAGAACCTATGATTAGCAAGGTTTTTTTAACTCTTGTAACTCTTTGTTACTGACATTGTGTTAGCTTTCCGTTGAAATCTCTCCATTTTGAGGGGATTTTGCTTTCCTTGACACTTCATCATTTTACTTGTCATGTCACCATCTTTGTTTGTGTAACCAAACAAAATAAAATGGGGAATTCAATTGAAAGCTAACACAATCTAACACTTTCACTTGCTTTTCTTTAAAAATTGGCAACCAAACAGCCCCTTAAGGCTAGACAACATGCATTTAGCTGGAAAAAAGCATAACGTTAGGATATTAGATGGATGCAATTTGTGGGGCCCATGGTGAATTGGTAAGGAGTGTTGTTATGGGCTTTACAGATGGGTGCATTCATAGTCGGCTACAAGAGTTGAAAAGAGATGTCACAGGTGGACATTAAAGTGAGGTGGTCGGTTCGGTCCTAATTGACTCATAAACTCTGCACTCGACCTGAATTGAAAGCGATATAAAAATCAAATCAAACCATAACAAATAAGATAGCTTGTTCGATCGGTTCAATCAGTCCGCATCATATTTCCTCAATCCTACACCTCAGCTCTTCTTATAATTTTGTTCATATTCCTGTGTTTCTTTCAAGTTTTTCCCCCCCAAAAGCGACTACTTGAAACATCAACCCATATCACAAAAATAAAAAACTCATTTCTGATTAATTTGCTTGGAAAGGAACTGGAAAACAAATAAAGAAGATGAAAAAAATTCAGAGCGAGTGAGGTGGCTTTTTAGGAACCGTCCAAACTATTTTTTATAAATTTAACTTTCTACTTTTTACTCACAAACCAAACATAAAACTGAGGTTTTTTAGAAATTGGGGTTGGTTAAGCACCAACCAAACAACAAAACCATTTGTAAGCATCTGGCAGAAAACACAAACTTGGTTTTTCCCCTCTAGAAATTAAGTTTTCCAATAATTGGGGATTTAATCCAAAACAGCCCCCTTACTTGAAAGACTAATTTCAAAGCAACTTAAGAATTAGAATATCTAGTAGCAATTTCAGTGATTTACCATACTAATTTCATAATAGCTTAAGACGTGGGGGACATAATAGTAAATTTAATTATTTTAGACCTTATTTGATAAAGAGTTAAAAGGGTTTAACCCTTCACTAACCTACCAAATAATAATTTATGGTTGAAGGTTTTCGTACCCCTAGTCAACAGGGTAAGAGCAGTTAACCTATCAAAATGATGGGTTAATAATTCCACCGTTTTAGGCGGGGTAAAGTCTTAACCCTTCTCGGCGGCGGCAAGGGTAAATGATGTAATTTAGAAAGTTTGACATTTCTACCCTGGTCAGCCATACCATGCGGATCAAAACTTAGACCCGACCCGGTAGAGATGAAGGGGACAACCATATTG